GAGAGAGAGAGAGAGAGAGAGAAGAGAGAGAGAGGTTGCCTACAATCATATAACAGAAATAGATGGATTACAGTGGGGCATAATTTGGTTCAACATTTACAAGGGCCTGGAGGACATTGCAGGCCTCTATGCATGTATGAGTACAGAATGGAGCATAGAACTGAAAGAACATACCACAAGAGTCTGGTTATTGCCCAATGTTATTGTAGTTGGAAATGACCGATCAATTGTGCTAGCTGCAACAGTTACAAGCCAAGGAGCAGTATTTATGACTGTCTGAGGGCGCGAACCAGAATTTCCTCCGGAGCAAACTACAGTGATTCCTTTAGCCACTGCATGAAAGGAACCAACAGCCAAGGCATCTTCAACAAAGGGGTCAAGGGGCGGGGCTGAGCCTAAAGAAACAGATAGCACATCCACCCCGTCAGAGATCGCATCATCGAAAGCAGCAAGCAGGTCAGCTGAGCTGCAACCGCCACTTGCCCAGCAAACTTTGTACACAGCTATTCTTGAGTGAGGAGCGCCACCCCTTGCTACCCCTTTGGCAAGCCCCATAAAACTAGCATTGCTCACAAAAGCACCTGCTGCTGTGGATGATGTGTGAGAACCATGACCAACTGCATCCCTTGCAGATAGAAACTCGAAACTGTCACTTGTGTTCAGATACCCAAATTCAGCATTGTACCCTTTAATGTACCACCGTGCACCAATTATTTTCCTAGAAAGATATACATCACAAACTGAGATCTATTGAGATTGAATATAAAAAAAGAAACAGCATGCCTGAGTTTATGGAGAAATGTAATGCGTGAAGTCACGATGCTTCTTAAATCATTGTACTACACACACAAATTTGTGATTGCGTCAATGCCCCATTGGCATAAACTTGAAGCAGGTCCCTGCTAAGAACTGAAAGTCTGAAAGCTGAGGAGAGGAATACAGCCATTCCTCTTAGTTTGATAAGAGAACAAGTTTGAAAACATGCAAACCATAAAAGGTTTCTTCCTTCTCATCAAAGGAAGCAATAAATGTTTTCCTGAAACTAAATGCTCAACATGCTATATGAATCAATATTTACCTAGCGTTTTCTGAAGGGACAATCCCTTTAACTGAAAGAATAGTTCTGAAGGCCTTTACAGAATCATTGTGAGTTGGGACTTTGTGACTCTTTCAAATGAAATTTGACCAAAATAGGACAACATTATATTCCAACACAAAAGATTCTAGCAGCAACAAGTGACTTGATGAACATGAATAGGTAAGGAATATGAGATAGCACGGACATGGAGGAAACCAGTGTTCTAGAGCGATCTATACGATCAATTACTCACTAGTCAGGTCCTTATATTATGGCCCTAAGGCACTAAAAAGACACATACTTATTGCCAAGTTAAGTAGTTCTCAAGAGTGTTGCTAACCACTAGGAATGATCTCCCACTACTTTGATTCCTACTCAAAATACATAAAAACATATTTACTAACATGCA